GTGCGGGGCCGGGTGTGCAAAATATAGGTTACTGAAAAAGGTTTATACAATATTGAATTGAACAAAAAATTGCTGTCTGTATTTTCATTTCTATTTTGTTACCGTTAGCAAATTTGAAATCCAAAGTTTACTTAATCAGGGACATTATATCCATTATACATTGTACGTCCCTGACTTAATCAAGTTAATCAAAGATAAACCGATTTCAATATTTCTTTTCAACTAAATTACTACGTGAGCGATATCGAAATACGTTGAAATAATGATTCAACTTATCACATTGAGAAACGAAATGATTCACTATCTTCAGACACAAACAACACGTGTTCTTGCAAGACTCCTACGGAAAAATAGAAAAGCATACTTCCCTGTTGACGAAACGAAAGTACAGCCATGAGTAATATAAGCTGATCTAAAAATAGCACCTGTGCTATATCGACTCCAATCAGATTGCAGCATTTGCTGCTGTGGTTGCTTGCAAACCATCATGATTTTACACGACCGGACAGACGGTTTAGGATGTTGTCCGTGTTAGGACTGGTACGGACACTGGACACTACCATGAGATGACCATAGATTATGTGAAACATGGGAGCTATATGGACAAAAATCTTCAGAAATAAGGAGGTCCGGGTGTTATTACTAGGTAAGTGTAATTATGTTGATATGTGCCGAGGCTGAACACACAGCAATTCAACAGACGACACATGCAAAGCTAACAGCATGTCGGCTGCATGTATAGCCTACATGTGTAAGTAGATTTACACTTGGGGTCGGGTACTAGCCATATATTCTCACTATTAATAAGAGAGTCTGTGTATTATGACAGCCTATTATAGCTAGGGGACTAATTGGAACTGTGTTGTGATGCTCGACACAAAAGTACCTGATTATGAAATTTACAATATACACATGTACGTCTTTGTGTGTACAAAACCTGTGTATGTTAACGTTCCTGTTTGAAAGCTTTAAGGTTTGAATTAAGGTTTTTATGACTAACATTTATAAACATCTAATCATGTAGTATATTGGATTGCTATCAAAGTCCATGATCTAATTTAGTTACTACACTTTGTCAAATTATATATAATAATTTAATTTAATTAATAATTAGATTATTTCAGATCATGTGAAATATCTAAAATCTTAAAATTTTATGAATGCCAATCTCTTAACAGTTCTTCAATTTTTGCCAAAAACTATTTTTTTGTTAAGGATTATAGTTAATTATGTGTTAATTAGCTATGGTTAAATATTGTATCATAAAAGAAATGGTGGTCATTCATCCGTGTTAAATTGATAGATTGTATATAACTCACCCACGGTGTAGTTGAGAAACTATACCCCAACAGAACATATTATTCATTAACAATCCTTCAAAGAAAAAAGAAAAAAAATTGTCCTGTTACTATAAACATAAGATATATGTAAATGAATATATGTATTATGTTCCCATATTGCAAGGGTCAAGTGCTACATCCATGTTTTTGTAAGAATGTTGTCGGAGAGAAAGACCTTCGTAAAATTTAAAATAAGACTTTGGAAGGAGGGAGATTTGACCTCAATCTAAATCTGAGGACGATTTTATTGTTCATATGAAGTATTAAGCTGTAAAAATGGAAGTTATCAAGGGTCGGAAAATCTCACATTTTTTTGCCCCTATAGTGCAAAGTTTCAATATGCCAGTGTCAGCATTCGAACATTATTCAACACATGCATATATACATTACTACCTTTTTTTCACTTTTTCTGAAGAATTTCATTATTTTGACATGACAATGCAAAAATGATTCTCTAATTAATTATTGTTTAACAAGTTTTGTTTTTATTCAAATCAGTTTCAAATACACGATCGCCTCTAAAAAAAAAAAATGTATAGTTCAGAAATCGTGTACAGCTAGATGAGATGTACAGGCCCTATAGGGCTCTTGCTAAATCAGTTTTACATTTATTTACCATAAAAAATCTTCTGAGTTCCACACTACCCTGATAAATTATTGGTGTGAAAACAAACTCAACAGTGGCCAGGTCGAGGGGTCAAGGTCATACGATGGTCAATATCAGTACACACAAGGAAATACAATAATGAAGCTACGTAGTAGCTAGTTATAGCTAGCTCCTTTAATCTGACCATCTTAACATCAATCCACTCTGAGCTGTTCAGGAGATGGAGGGCACTGTGTGTGTGTGCANGGGGAGGGGGGTTTGAGGGAGGGGACAGGGGTATGGGAGTGTTGAGGTTATTCCTAAAATATGTATACTTATATGTGAAGGATATTACAAAAGCTATCTAAAACCCTTATTTTTGTGAAGTCCATGGAACAACATTGTTACAATTGATACGAGGCATCTACATGTGGTAACAGGAAACAAAGATTGGTTTAATTTGGCCTTATCTGGTTCTGAAGTGTCATTTATGTGTTTATAGTATGCAACATTAAGTTTGTCAATTACAGAATGAACAACTGGTATATGGCTCCTATTAGATGACTGGGCACTGATACTTGACGTTGTTGACAGGGCCACTGATAAAATTCTCACACTGAAGTCAGTGAGGTTTAACGAGATTCTTCTTTTACTGTGAAATCTGTAAATATCGCACGAGGACAGAAATTTAGACATGGTTATTGACTGATGACACAAAAAAGTGGTACTATTTAAATAATTTCTACCTCTGCTCATCCATGTGTGACTGTCAATCTGTCCTTCCAATTTTGTGAATTGAATCTGTGACTTCTGGGAAACATTTTGTTGATAAAATTGACAATTTTTAAAACAAACCTGCTTTCATGATAATATTTTTTGAAAATACTGAATTCATTACCTACAATCACCCACCCAAAGACTGCATTTATTGTATAAATCACTTTGCCCAGGTATGAATCATTTTGGTATCATGATGGTAAATGCAAGTAAATCAGGCCAACAAGGCAATGCATCTGAATCGTAGGAAATAATATCAAAATCAAATATTGCCGTTGTCCTATAGCATTGGTTGATGATGACATTTTCTGGATGCTGAGATCAGTAAAACGTACATTACCAGAATTCCCAAGTTGTTTGATATTTTGAGAAGTTATATTTGAGAAATAGGTTATCAGACTGGTATGTTACCTTAGATTCTTACACTGTTTTTATTTTTCTGTAGTCTTCTCCCACAAAGACAACACACGAGAAATAGGTTATCAGACTGGTACTCCAGATTCCGACACTGTTTTTTTTTTCTGTAGTCTTCTCCCACAAAGACAACCCACGAGAAATAGGTTATCAGACTGGTATGCTAGATTCCTACACTGTTTTGTTTTTCTGTGGTCTTCTCCCACAAAGACAACACACGAGAAATAGGTTATCAGACTGGTACGCTAGATTCCTACGTACACTGTTTATTTTTCTGTAATCTTCTCCCACAAAGACAACCCACGAGAAATAGGTTAACTATCAGACTGGTACACTAGATTCTGACACTGTTTATTTTTTCTGTAGTCTTCTCCCACAAAGACAAAACACAAGAAATAGGTTATCAGACTGGTACACTAGACTCTGACACTGTTTATTTTTTCTGTAGTCTTCTCCCACAAAGACAACCCACGAGAAATAGGTTATCAGACTGGTACACTAGATTCTGACACTGTTTATTTTTTCTGTAGTCTTCTCCCACAAAGACAACACACGAGAAATAGGTTATCAGACTGGTACTCTAGATTCCTACGTACACGGTTTTATTTTTCTGTAGTCTTCTGCCACAAAGACAACCGACGAGAAAAAGGTTATCAGACTGGTAATTACCCTAGATTTCCGACACTGTTTTTCTGTAGTCTTCTCCAGCTCCCACAAAGACAATGTTGACACACTATTTACGACCCAGGTTCAAGTATCTCCTAAAGCCAAGCACACCGAGTACTTAACATGTAAGTATAGCAAGGATCAATTAACACAAACAAGACAGGAAATAAATAACACACCAGACTGCATTTTTTTACTTAAAAATTACCAAGATCCTGTTACAATATTACTGAACATTGTTTTTGTAAACATAATTTATTATCTAATAACATAAATAACCTTTATGATCATGTAAAGTAATATATCATTTCTAGCTTTGTTTAGGGTAAACAAAAATAAGTAAGTGATTTTGTTTCTTTTACAAATAAAGGACTTTTCTTCTAGGATAATTAAACATCAGAGCATACTGAAACTATAATTTAGTTACGGTGGTCTGGTGGTGCAGTGGATAGCGCATTTGCCTTTCTTCAAGGCGGCCGGGGGTCGATTCCCCGATCGGACGTGAGAAGGTATGGGGTCACCTGCCTGACCACGTGGGTTTTCTCCAGGTACTTCCGTTTTTCTCCCACACTAAGACCTCTCGCGCGCTATCATTCGGGCCAACAAGAGTGATTAGTATAAGTTGTAAAATGTTGTTTCATAATTGTTGTAAAATAAATAAAGTTAACATATAACTTAAATCAATTAATAAAATTGATTGCTTACATTTACAAAATATTCCCAACTGTCAGTGAGACTATAGATTTTCAACATTTTTCTTCCTGATATGACGTTACATGTAGGTATGTATCTCGGTGGATGTCATCACATGTTTTTGCTGGCCATAGGTAATTGTTTATGGATGCAGGTATTTTTATCGAAATTATTTTGTGCAGTCTTCTGAGTTTTCGTAACAACAGCAATAAGATATGGTATGCTGTGAAATTCTGTTGAAATTATTTTTCCTAGGGTAACAGCCGAAAAGTATTTCTTTCACAAGACAAATAGACAGACACACGGTAAAAGATTGAAAGCCTGGCTTAGTTAGGTTAGAAGTGTTTAGTATAAATCAATGCCCACAGTCGGACACACCAGACACTTAAGGTCATAGGAGTGTATTGATAAACGGAAGTAGGAAGTACATCCCTAGTTGAAAATCCAATGTATATATAGGGAGAAAGTATCACAATTTCCGCTTATTCTAATGTTTAATATTAAACTGATGAATATTGTATGTTTATTATTGACAGAACAGTATGTTCTTTCAATACTAAAGTATTCCAAAGCAATCCAGACATTAATTCAGGTGTTTTTTTATCAATGAGTCACATGTGTCCATTTTTCTGCACTTCAGGAAACCAGCTACCTATTTCACTACTGTGAAGTTTTTCAAGAAAGATAACTCTTCCATGCAATTACTATGTGTATATGGTTTAATATAAAGTGTCAATTTTTAATCATTCATAGATAATTCATTTTACACAATTTCAACATTTATTAAATTGATATACATTAATGCAATACTAATCTATGGCAGTATCATTATTTTATTGACATTATTTTGCAAAAAATTGTGTCTTTCATTTATTTTTCAAAATTCACTCCTTTTTACATAAATTTCCATTTAAAATCCTTAAAATTCTGACAACCAACATTTTGTTTGTGGCAGAAAATGTTCTTTACTTCAAAGCAATATAACTACAAAATTTGAAGAAATTCTACTGAGAAATGGTGACACAATTCTATTACCTTAACAGGATTGGATGTAATGTTTATGTGCCGAGTCCGGCCAAAGGTGTGAAGTTGGTCGTTGTTCTTTTCCCTTTTCCTGTGAAGAAATGATTTAGCATTGTAAAATCCTGGTCTGTGGCAAGAATATTAACA